TGCTAAAGTCGAAGATACCACTAACACGAAGGTTTTTAAGGCATGCAAGAGAGCTGAATATATGGGCTCCCAAGTTAATTCCACAGTTTTTCCAGAAACATACAATACCGGAATCTGTGAAACAAGAATGAAAGAGTAAACCTCTTCATCAATTATTATGTTCATAAACCAACCAAGCTTTCTGGCAATCACAAGTTTTACATCTTCCTCAAGATCAAAGGAGTATCTCAGAAAACTGGAATAAAGTACCATTCGACCAAGCAACAATACTCTTGACTTAGGCATAGCTTCACAACTCACTGAAAAGATCTCACCCATTGAAGTCGTCCGACATTTACTAACAGGATCTTCATTAACATCATTTGACCAGCAGTCGTCATAGAATAACCAGTCTACAAGTTCATATTTGAGTTCCTGCTTCACATCAGCTGAATTAAGCAAAGAAATAAGCAAATCCAAGGATGTTTTCTCCAAAAGTTCAGCCATCACTTCACTGACATTTTTCATAAGTTTTTCATGGTTCAATGATAATTTAAAGGTTGAGAGTATCACGACACAGAGTGTTAAGTCTCTATAAACCATATATGCCTGGCATGGATATAAGGAAGATATTTTTACTGCATTGATCAGGTAAAACTTTATTGGAACAAATATCCTTCTAGCTTCAGTTACAGAAACAGTATCCTTCAGAGGAGAAGACCAAGCCTCAGCTGCACATTTCAGGGAACCATTGACAAGTGAAATTAAAGTCACAATGATATCTGCTACCTTCACTTTTACTGTTAATTTGCCCTTGCCTTGCTGAAGTAAGGTAACCACACCTTTCCATGACACATTAAGAATGGTTACAAGACTTCCACCGCCATTTGCAGCCAAAATGCCCAATTCAAATAGCTTTTCTATTGTAACTGTTGTTATGCTCATAATATGATTCGTAACACATGCCTGTTCACAGTTCATATCATGCTCATCATTTTCAGGTTCTGCAGCAGAAACCTCCCAATTTATTACTTGTAAATACTCCTTGCAGAGTCTTATGACAGCATCAATGACTGCTTGGACAGCCTTTAAAATCTCTGCACTGATTGAATCCATATTCTGTTTGAGAAAATGTCCAAACTTCATCAGCAGGTGATGCCAACTAGATTCTTCAGATTTATAACAGAAAGCACTGACA